ATATTTTAATAGTATAAGATAATATTTACTCATATTTTCTCTAATCAATTGATAACGTGCACATACTGCAAACATAGTTGTTCGAATTCAAGACCTTTAATGAGAATAACATCCCTTTTAATTATTGAGACCATTTGATATATTACGTATTTGTTTTGTTTTGGTAAAAGGGTAACTTTTTCCATGCAATAGACCCAATTTATCACTTTAAACCTTATCGTATTTTCACATCAATTTAACTCTCAAAGTTTCTCAATTGCATCATTATATACCCTATCACTAACTTAAAACTATAAATTATACCTAAACCATAACCCTATTACCTCTAAATCATAAATTATACCTAAACCTTAAATCCTAAATCCTAACTTAGGATTTATAATTAGGGTTTTAAGTTAGGAGAAGGGTATAGAACAACTTTGAAGGTTAAATTGATGCGAAAATATGATAAAAGCTAAAATAATAAATTGGTTCTACTAAAGGGGTAAATATGACTATTAAACCTTTTGATTTTATTAAGTTTTACGAATTAGTATCGTTATCTTTCTAATATCAATTGTGATAGATGGCCGAGTTGATTCTAAAGGACAGATTTATAAAATTTAAATAAAGACAAATTTATAAAATTTTAATAGAAATAAAAAATTTCTAATAAAAATATAAAAAAGTATAAATACAAAGATATTTAAAAGATTTTAAAGGCGAATATCCTGTGACTCCTCAATCCATCCTTAATGATTGCGTATATGGATTGGTGTGTAAGAATTTTGAGTGCAAAGAGAACAGATCAACCCACATCCTCTATAGGATTATATTGTATCATACAAATGATTAGGCATGTAAACGAACCGAACGCACATGAACGAAGGTATGTTCATGTTTGTTCATTTAATAAATAAACGAACATAAACGAACACGAACATAAACGAACAAAATTTTTTTTGTTCATGTTCGTTTATTAAGGAATATAACTTGTTCATGTTCGTTCATTTAATAAATAAACGAACACGAACATAAATGAACACGAACATAAACAAACATAAACGTTGGAGACCCTACCTTCCATTGTTCTTTCATGAAAAATAGTAGACAATGCAAATCAACCAAATCTACAGTGATAAATAGCGTAAGAGCTTATTAGCAGTGATGAAATGTTTGAAGATATCAAATATTTCGATCGATCTTTTAAAGATATTAAATGATTCATACGACTTTAATTTAACGCTATAACATTTATCTTAGTGTTCCATGATTACATATGAACAATTATTTTCCGCTATTACATACTTTTTCAGAAATTACATAGAAACCTTTGTTTTGTTTTCTGGCAAATTCTATATATTTTTCTTTTTACTGGTGCTCATATACTTCCGATTTTTACCTTTATCTTCCCATTTATTTCTAGAAAGAAGTATTATGTTTTCTTGAGTTTTAGATGTGAAGATACCCACAATAACTTTACATATCAACTATTAAGTCAAATAAAACAGAGAAAGAGATGAAAATAGACCTGTAAAACTTCATATTGCACTATAATATAACTTATTTTGAATCTTTCAGAGATCGTCTCCACTCTCCAGTGAACAATAAGGTTTGGGAAAAAATGGGGAAAATGAATATAAGTGCGAGGTGCCTCACAGGTTAACATATTGGATTTAATCTCCAAGTAAAATTGGGTTAATTATGGAGTTGGTCATCAGAATATCATATTAATATTTTTAAGATACTTACAAATTGGTCACCAAAATTGATTTAAGAAGATTGTGTTAAACATACATAAACGAACATAATCGAACGAACATAAACGAACATAACCGAACGTTCACGAACGTAAATGAACGAACGAGACCTATGTTCATGTTTGTTCATTTAATTAAACGAACAAAAAATCTTGTTCATGTTCGTTCATTTAATAAATAAACGAACATAAACGAACTTCCCGCCGCATGGTTCATAAACGGTTCGTTGAACGTTCAGTTCATTTACAGGCCTACAAATGATTGGTCATGAGAATAAAATATATTATATTATGTTATAAGGTAAACTACGAATTTAATACCTAATCTATCAATTTTAGTATGTTTTAGTATCTAAACTTTTAATGTTTTTAAAAAATATACTTAATGTTTAGTTTTTATTTCATTTTAGTATCATATCATTAAACATTTAACGGAACTTTTGCATATGACATTTTTTAATGAGTAAATTACATTATTCACTATCTTTTCACTCATATTTTGATCATTAAATTTTAAAAAATTTAAATTGAAGTACTCAACTTTGAAATTGCTCATGTTTTAATCACTTTAATTTATTTTATTAATAATATTTTGTGACATGATATTTTTATTATTTTATTAATATATAATTAAAATAAAAAATAAATTTGAAAGTTAGAGTTATTAAATTAGGAGTAATTTAAACGTTAAGTAATTAAATTAAAAAATATTAAGCTTCAATGACCAAAATAGGATTGAGAAGATATTTGAGTGATGAATGATGTAATTTACCCATAAAAAAAGTGCCAAGTTGTAATAGTTCCGCTAAGTTTTTAACGCGATATACTAAAATGAAACAAAAACTAACTGTTAGGTATGCTTTTGAAAAATTGAAGGTTTAGGTACTAAACGTATAATTTACCCTATGTTATATTATATTTTTAAAAACCCAAAATCAATTATGATATAAACTTGTAAATATGTAAAATTTACGTAATCAATTATTAATATATAAAAAATCATACAAAATGCATAGCACTTCAAAATAAATATAATTCATGATAACTATTAAAAATTAAATGGAATATTATTTTTTAAATATTTTGATTTTAAACTACGTTTATTGTGTATGTATATATTATCAATTGATTAAAAAATTATAAATAAATATTAACTTATAATCATCATAGACTAATAAAAAAATAACTATACTATTAATTTTCTTGAGTAGGCTCAATAATAAGTCTACATATACCTAACAGCTTGAGAAAAATGTTTAATTGTGAGGATAATGGCCATATCTGCAAATAAATTTTGTTTTTCAGTTCTAAGCTACAGTTTACTGCATACCAATTCTTTGTAGGACAAGTGAAACTTATGGCTTAAACTTCAGAGCTTCTAAATGACTGAATTATGCGGTGGTGATTTAGAAATATTTGTAAAATGAATATATATATATCAATAAGTAATAATACAAACAATTTTAATAAGATAAAAATAAATAAAATTTTAAAATAATCAATATCAATAAAATAAATAACTAACTTCGAATTTCAGACATGTCCATCGTCAGATAGATGTGAATCTATCACTGGACCTCTTTCTAAAAAATATTAATTTTGGTGGCCTTTCCAATTGGACACTTAGTTGCAGAGCAGCATGTAAAAGTGTTTCATGCATTGGGCCAAATTGTTTTAGGCTCACTTGTTCTTGGTGGTCTCTATTGTGTGGGCTCATGACAAGCATCTTTTAAGAGAATATGGGCTTAAGTTGAATTAACCTATAATTTTATTGGTTGAATATTATTTGATTACGTTTATTCAATTATGAATTCTTATGGAATAAAGATTCTTGGAGGTCAAATATTTAATCGACTGTGTCTTAGCCTCTAGAATTATGAGAGAAAATTATTTTCGAGATATGTAGTTTTTTTTAGTCTCTACAACTTTCGGGTTTACGTTGTATAGATGAATTTGTAAGGATATTTATAGAGTAATTTGTGATACACCGAGTTCTAGGATACATGAATATCATGTATTTGTACCCTTTATGATGTCTACATTCACATTTGATTTTTATTATTCTCAATTCATAGAGGTAGACAAAGTTAAACCACGTTAAATCTTATCTCTTACATGTGTCTTATTTTGTGTTGATATCGCACTAGTAGCGGGTTGTAGATACTGTAATTTGAACTCAAACTTGCTAATATCAAGAGTAATTGCATGAACTAATTAAGCTAAGCTGAGTATTTCTAGTTTAGCAAGTTTGTTCTTCATAAACTATACATAAAGCAGTTAGTGTTTAGATGCCAATCTGTTTACTCATAAACACCTCCATTGTTAGAAAATAATTAAGTGTACAAGCATTGATGAGCAGTAGATAACTTATATATTGTTGTTAATAAATGACTTCACCAGTAGGTCTCTAACTTGTTTCTGGAAGAAGCTAATGCAAGCTGGAAATATAATATACTTGTAAATGCAATGCGATGGCTCTTCTTTTTATCTTGTAATTTGCCAGTAGGATATGACCCCTTTTGTTTAAATGAACACACAGTTATGTTGCTATTTATTGACAAGAATTTAAACAACGTAAATGCATTTATGGCTTTAAAGAATTCGACTAAGCCTGCCCGATCACATGGCAATGGCTTTTCTCTTCTGTTTTCTCCTTTTCATTCAGCACAAATTACCTAGCAAACAAGTTCTCGGGACTCTCGCAGCAAACTTTCTATAGATTTCAGTCAAAATTTAACTCTAAGGTTTGACAAAATAGCTATTTTTGTACTTATGTTCTTCTTCGAAACATTTTGATCCAATGTTTCATTCTAAAGTAAAATATTCATGTCTTACGTCAAAAGTGATATCACTACATATATCACGTGTTAAAAGTGATGATATAAAACATGTCACATTTCGAATATAATGATGTGCCACATGTCATGTAATAAAAGTGATGACATAACAGACTAACATTAGCAATAAGTGTTGACCATTAATCAAATCTTCATCTAATCAAAGATTATTTGATCCCAAAATAAAAGTACTAAAAATAATGATCAAAGTGACTATTTGGGAACTTTTTGACATCATATAGTTGTTTTTCTTTTCTCATTTCAAGGGCCATGAAGATTTCTTGTCTTTTCAGGGATTTTAAAACTCAAGAACATCCTAACAAACCAGACAACTTAAACCATATATAATTCTTGCAATTTAGACCAAATGAGCTGAAAATGGAGAGAAACTATATGGTGTCCATGTTGACGATAGAAAACCTTATACCAGATTCACATGCAAAAAGGCATGTAGGACTTGTCCCTCTGATTACAAGGACACAACATAATAACCTATTTATCTTTCCACACAAAACTAAGACAGAGATCTGGTCAAGTCAAGTGGGTTTCATGTCCTGAAACATAGCTGCCCATAATGTCTGATCACCATAGTCTCTACCTGTCTTTTCCTTGTACTCACCCTGAATCTTTGGGGTAGGGGGTCTTACATTGTTAAGGGTCGCTGATAGTTTAGGGCTCCTATTTGTGAGCATCAACCTCTCTTGTGCCACTGAAATATCAGTAGGGCCGGACGTTACAGGACTCCTATAATTCAACACCAATTTCTCCTGCATTTTCCTGTCTAAAGGCCCGGACAATTTCAAGCTCCTAGGAGGGGCAAGCAACTTCTCTTGTACCCTACAATCCAAGGGACCGGATTTTGCAACCCTCCTGCTGGCCCTTGGCACCGGCTGCTCTATGTTAACCTCCTTCTCACTCTTGCACTTCTTTGTCAATCCTCCTTTCCACTGATCTCGACACCGAACCGGCTCCGGCAGCGGCTTAATCGCGATATGGTCGAGGTGGACCAACTTGTTGACATACTTGTTGAAGCACTTTCTGGTTCTGGTGATGGCCAAAACGAGCTTGGACAGGCTGTTAGGGGGTTCGCTAACTTCTTTCCTGGCGAGCTTGAGAATCTCGAGCCTGTGCTTGGCAATTGAAAGGCCCATGCTCTGAAGAAACTCATGGTTGAAGTATGCTAAGTCCTCTCTTTGAAGCTCATTGCGGGAAAAAGAGAGGCCATACTGGTAGATAAGGGAGGGGTCAAGAGCAGTTTTTGATAACCAAGAGTACCAATCCATGGAGTGTACCACAGGATGCTGAAAAGATTGAAGGTTTGTGGTGTTATTTGGACTGTTTCATGTGCGCGGCGGTCCAACCTTCCTAGTCCCTAGGGGATATATATATATAGAGATAAGAAAGGTGAAGAGCAAATAAATGTGGTGGGTGTATTCAATTGTAGAGTTTCCTTGGGCATTTTCATCAACTTTTCTTTTTCTTTTAAAAACATAGATTTTTTATATAACTTAACGACTAATATATATAATCTACTAATCAACTAATCTATATTAAGTATTGTAAAGGTCTATTATGAGGGTGACTCTCGCAATCCAGTTTACTTCATTCACAATGTAAGGATTCGAACCTTTAATCTTATTTAAATGTTAAAATTTAAACCTCAAACTTTCAATTAGTCAAATGTTATAGGAATTTTTTTATTAGTACGAAGTGATTAAAATGTAGTATATGTTATGAATCTTTCTTAACTATTGATAATGCACACACATCTCGACCCAATACTTTTAGAAAAAAAAAATAATACTCCCCTTAATCACTTGACGGGTTTTTAGGGACTTTTTTTAAATTATATCGTTTTGATTTTGGCAAATGATAGTTGTTAATTTAATTATTCTCAAAGTTTCATCATTACAAGGCAACTAATCCAAGGACTGATAGCCATATTTAGTGTAACAAATTAGGAATTATATTGAAAGCATTTGTCAAAAATGTGCTACCTATTGTAAATGTACACTGTCGTTAAGCTTATGACAGTGACAAAAATGAGTTAACGATAAAGGCTGACTTTTCCCCATGAACGGTTGCTCAAGTATGGCCCATAACTTTCAAACAACTGCTCTTCTCTTAGCTATGACTATCTAATCTGCCTGCACATAGTACAAAAAGCTAGACATTCCTGGCTCAAAACTTTAAAAAAAAAGCTGCAGTATAGGTTATATTAAGATTGATTAATTCTGGTCTGCAATCTAACGCCTTGAAAGCTGAAATTTCTGGGTAAATTTAGTTGAAACATTTACCATTTCACGGTGTTAAGAGGGTGATATGAAATGGTGAATAGCAGTAAATTAGTATAGGGGGATTAAAAGCTAAAAGGACCAACAAAAACGGTGACATTAAATGTGATTTAATTCTATAAACTATTGAGAAATGCTGGGCCTATCATCAATAGTTGAACCATGTTTCTTTGTGGGAATTATTTTAGTGGGCAGGTACGTATGAATTTCGGTGAAAAGAGGCTAAAAGTCAAGGTGAGGTTTGAAAACTGAGGTCTCTAACCATATGGATCCCTACTAACTTTCCGGACTGATGTCCCTTCTAGAGGCAAGTCCGGGAAATACGTTCGTAATATATATTTTTGTACATAACAAACCTAAATAAAATTTCATAACGGTTACTATCAATAAAATAAATAAATCAAAAAATAAAATTTAGTTTCAGAATGGATATATAAATTTAATTAATGTGGATCCCTCACTATTAGTATTTATAGATATAGTAAAGAAATACAACGTTGAAGGTAAATCATCCGATCCACTTGTCTGTGTTCCGTCAATCTGCATTTGTCACATAACACCCAGAGTATGGCGCACTCATAAAGTATATAAAACCTGATACTTGAGGAGAAGTAACAGATTCCCAAAGCCTTCTTCAACCTTTAGCATTTCACCTCCTCCCTTCACCCTCTTCCAGACTCCACACACTAACTCTCCGATTAAGGTTATAAATGAACACAACATTCGATAAGATGTTTGTGAAGCATTTCTATAATATTTATTTATTAAGTAAAAAAAACGATTACGGATTTTTTTTGTTTATTTAATAAACAAACGAACACGAACAAATTTATATTCGGTTCATTTATGTTCACAAACAAACTCATTTAAAAAATCGTTTATAAGTTTATTTACCCGATTCTCTTTTTCCTTTTATTTGTTTTACATTTTAAATACGGGTGAAGATAGGGATTAAATTTAGCACATGGTGAACTTTAGAGTTCAAACTATAAAACTTAAGAACTTTAAGGATTAGTGGTATAATTTCACAATTTTTCTTTGGCTTGCGAGTAAAAAGGGTAAAAGATAATGTGCAACCAATATGTTATCGAAACTAACGAACATATTAAAAATATGCTTACGAATATTAAATGAATTGAACATGAATATTTCGAAAATAAACAAAAGAACAATACTATTCATTCGAATTCGATTTATGTACACTAATATAGAGGTCAACTAGATATTTGGGTTGAAGTAATCAGAGTTTGAGTAGTTGATGGGGTCAGCATCATAAAATAATAACGAGGCAGGTAAGAAAGCAGTGTTCATCAGGATCACCAAAGGAGCTGAAAATGCAAGGGTGGGTAAAGCGTATCAGATTTGTTGCTTTAGAGTGCACTGAATCTGAATTATACTAAATTAGTTATCTTTTGACTCTCACTTACCATATGCCTTGGATTCAGCAAACTTAGTGCTCTGCATTTGCTTTTCATATCTAATTTTCAATGGTATAATATCAACAAAAACCTAATGTTTAATTAAACAACCATTTTAGTTCTTATTCTTTTTCAGAGTATTTTAATCCCTATCTTGTCATTTGGGGGCAAAAAGAAGCTTATATGGATGAAAATTAGTAGTTAACAAATCATTAACGCTCCAAAATAGGCTTTTTTAATTTTAAAATGAAACATTAAGGGTCAAAATGTTTTTAAAAAAATAAGAGTCAAAATAATTATTCAGTTAGAAACTTTTTCTCTTAAAATAAAATTCGGAATGCCAAAATATTAAAAAGAGAAATAGGGCTACCACTTCGATAAACTTTGAAGGTTAATTTTGACATTACGCAAATTTTAATTGAAAGGTGGGCACTGAAGCACAAAACAAGAACCATTTTCAATTTAATATGCAAATTATTTATGCTATTTGAGGAGCCGAAAGCACTGTATTGACACTATAGTGAGTTTCATAAAAGTAGAAAGAAGAATACAGGATTGGGGTTCACCATTGAACTATTGGAATGATGTTGCCAGAAAAAAGCAAAGCTTTGGCCCTGTTTTCAGTCTTTAAGGGCAGCTGCATTATGTTTTTTTTTCAGAATAATGTAATCTCATCAGTCATTGTGTTGAGGATTTAGGTATACCTAACATGATATTGGGAAGCTATATATCCAACTATTTTTTTTTGGGGGCGTCTATTTAGCCTAAAGAAAAGGGGAAAGATATATTTAGCCTTTTATATTTAATAGGCTTAATGTTCATGTAAGGGTCTAACCTTTTGGAGACCGTTCATATAAGGGCCAAACCTTTTAAAATATCGGGCAAGATCTTAATATTTTTGAATATGTTCATATAAGAGTAGTAGCAGATCCAGAAATATTTTTAGGGTGGATACACATATGTTAGCAACATAAATTTTTAAATGGGGTGGTACAAATAAAATTTCAGGTTGGACACCATCTATACAATAAGTAATTAATCGAAGAAAAATCATATTTCAGGACGGACACGAAAAATTTCAAGGTGTGTACTATCAGTAAAATAAGTAATTAATGTTCATGTAATAGGCTTTTATATTTTTGAATATGTTCATATAAGAGTAGTAGCAGATCCAGAAATATTTTTAGGGTGGATGCACATATGTTAGCAACATAAATTTTTAAATGGGGTGGTACAAATAAAATTTCAGGTTGGACACCATCCATACTAAATTAATCGAAGAAAAATCATATTTCAGGACGGACACGAAAAATTTCAGGGTGTGTACTATCAGTAAAATAAGTAATTAATCGAAGAAAAATCGAATTTTAGGATGAGCACACCCTCACCGAGTTGTGGCTCTGCCAGTGAATAAGGGTATAACCTTATAAAAAGTCAAATAAATACTCAACATTTTTTGAATTTGTTTAAATAATTGTCTAATATTTTCTAAGATACTCAAATAAGAGCCTTTATTTGAAAATATTTTTAAAAAGTTAGATGTTTAATATTGGAACAAATTAAAAAAATATCTTAGCTTTTTTTTTCTTTTCAAAAGATATGATCTTCTTTAAGCAATACTTCAAAGCTAGACTCTTATTTGATCGTTCAACCTATTCCATGTAAATAGACCAGTAAAATAACTTGACGAATCAAGTTGAGCTTGATTTGAATATGGATAGGAGAATTATTTACAATTTGGACAATGACCCAACAACAAGAAATCTACATCCAAAATTGATCAATTAGAAAAATGAGAAACTCAATGAAAAGTTTGGTATGGGATCGAAGTTGACAATTACTTTAAAAATTGGGATGAGGTAGGAAATTGGGACGGAGTAAAATTTATGTTAGGAGATATGAAATTCTAAAATTTAGGAGTTACGATATTATACTATCAATACAAATATATGCAAATTTAAAATTTTTAGATATTACAACCGTCTCTTTCAACACCCCTCGACCCATTCCTATCAAGAAGTAACATGTGCTCATCATCAACTCATAGGTTTTGAATTAGGCTTAACACTTAACGATCAAAATTGAAGATAACCTATAGATATAAAAAACATACCAATAAATAGGGTTTCCCTACCACATTGACATGCAAGTTGCATCTTTTTAGCATGAACGTGCATGTTGAGACTTGAGATTAAGAGGCGTATTCAATGACGGAATTGCAATGTTCATAGTCGCCTCACATGCTAGTCCAGATCTTGGAATGTCAATATGAATTTAATTGATACTTCCTTTTCTGAGCTAGGAAGCGAGTATTTACATGTATAAAACATTATTTAATATCTTATCATCAAGTTTGTATAAAAATATTATCATGATTTTGTAGAGTGGCATGCATTTTTATGGGAAATATATGTTTCTTTTCAGTTTAATAAAAAATAAATACTCAAAGCATACTCAAAATTAATTTTAGGTGTTTAAAGAATTTTTCTTTAAAAATATGTACTTAACGTTTCTGGTATTACGCTTTTAAGTGTTTGGACTGCAATGGTTGTTAAGTGACATGGGTCGTTTTTATTAAAAAATTAAAAATTAAAGCACTTTAAAAATTATTTAAAAAACCATTTTTTCTAAAATTATTAAAAATCTCAAACTTCTTTAAAAACCTAATTTCAATCTCTTTGTCACCGCGGACCACTGTTAACCAGACGAAATTCCAACGGCGTGAGACCGACCAAACATCCAACACTAATTGAAGCAACCAATCGACAATTGCAACGTGGAGAACCCCTTTCAACCGGTCGCAAAATCTTATATTTACACGACCGTTGGGTGTTCATTCGGTCATAAAAATAAGGGGTTTTAACCGTTGGGTGGTTATCCTGTCAAACATCGTTTGGTGTTTGATCGATTGACAATGTTGGTCGTGGCAAAAGGTGCTAAGATATTAAAATTGGGGTTTTAATAGATTTTGAGTTTTTTTTTGGTAATTTTATAAAATTTTGAGTTTTATAATTATAATATTAAGTTTTTAATTTAAATAAAAAAATAAAATTTTATAAACGTGACATGTGTCACTTACTGTCCTTATAGTCCAGACACCTCAAAGTGCAACGTAAGAAACATTAGAAACCTATTTAACGATTTTTAGTCACCTAAATTAACTTTGGGTATTGTCGAAACAATTTTTTTCGGGGGGGGGGGAAGGTGGTGGTCTCGTTTCGAAATAATTCTTTTGTGACCGATTAATGATAAAACTAGTTAGAGAGTCGCCACCAATTTTTGATTATAGTATGATTGGGCATCCAAAAAACGTATTTTCATTTTAATAAAATAATATTTTTAATTAAAACAACAAGCTTGCGGTATGTGTTACCAAAATTCGAGTTCAGGAGTAGTTACATATGGGGAAGGATTAGCACCTCCACAGCACCCTAAATCGGTACCTAGACGATAATTAAATGTATTTGCAATAAAATTTACAAGTTCGAGTCTAATTTAATTTAAAATCCACTAAAATAGTATTCTTTGAATTTTGGACGAAACATGATAATATTTAATATTTCCTATCGAGAAGAATCAATCTCTCATACTTAAGTAATCGATTCTTACTCCAATCGAAATAAAGAAAATATTAAAATTCCGTTATAAAGTTCATTATTGATTCAAAATAACAACACCTAAAAATAATTTTAATAGAGAAAATAATAATATATAATTATTTCCAATCGAGAATAAATGACCTTTCATGCCTTAAAAGATCATTTATTACTCCAATCGAAATGAAGAGATATCATTATTCGTCATAAAATTCAATATCGATTCGAGATAAGATGGCAATATCGAATTATTTTCGATCGAGAATAAATGACCTCTCATTCCTTAAAGCATTCATTTATTACTCCAACTGAAATGAAATGATATTACCATTCTCAATATCGATTCAAATGTTATTATTCGAAAACCTATTGGGAAAACACATGCAAAGTAAAGCGAATTAGAAGAATACATCAAGCAAGTATGATTAATTATTTATTTTACCAATATTTAATGCTAATAAGGATGTTCAATTATTTTAAAATGAATTCTACTTAATTTGTGTCACTAAATGGGATATACTTTAATTTTAAAATTATCGAAAGTAACTTTCTTATACGTTAAGACAATCACTTTACGACAATATTAAAATGAAAGAAATTACCCTTAGTCAATTTATTTCGATTCAGGTCAAGTAATGCTATGAGGTAACATGCAAAATTAATTAAGGACTAAAACGAAAACATGCAAGCAACATGCAAAAATTAAAATAAAAAAAAAGGACTAAAACATAAACAATCAAACCATGCCAAAATTAAAATAAAATAAAATATACAAGTGACTAAAATGGGCATTTCAATATTAAGGGCTAAAATTACAAAATATGAAAATAAATAAAACGTTAGGCTAAATTAAAATAAATTAAAATTACATGAAAATTTTAAAATAAAAAAAACATATTTGGTTCGAAATACAAACATGCAGAAAAATAGGGGCTATTTCTATATATTCCTATTTTTTCCCTAAAAATACATTCGAATAAAAATTTGAATTATTAAATCAGTCCCTAAGTATTTTTCTTAAATAAAACAGTCATTACACATGTACCAAAATAAAAAACATGCTAAACAGCAAGGACTAAACAAAAATTAAACCAAAAATATATGCATAAAAATGGGTAAATCACAAAATAGTCCCCTACAGGTGACTAACATGCAAAAACACACGTAAAATAGGGGACCAAAAAGCAATTAAACCAAAAAACAAAGCATAAACAAAAATGAGTAAATTGTGTTAGGGTTTAGATCTCTGTAAAACGGGCTTCTGAAAACTTACCCAAAAACAACCCCCTCACTCCGATCTACCCACCTGGCATTAGGTCTAGGGTTTAAAACTACCAAAAAAGCTCCTAAATAACCCAAAAAGGTCCATTGACCTTTCGGTTTTACCCTCTAACGACCTCCAAAAAAGAACCGGTCCCCATTCTGACTCCTTCTAAGGTAAATCTAACCCTTTCACTATTCATTCGACTACATGCAAGGTTGTTTGAAGGTTGGTCTTTTTTAAAGTTTTTTGTTTGTTTCAAAACTAAAAAAATGCTGGAAATACCTTGAACCTTTTTTTTTCTGATTTTATTTACTTTCCAAAACCAAAGGAGGAACCCGTTTTAATTTTTGTTCGGGGTTTTATAATATCGTTTTATATAGATTTTGCTTACATAGTAAAATAAAATGATTACAAAAGTACATCATTGTTGTTATTACATGTGGATTTGCTTTCTGACTTGTTTGTGTGATTGATGATTTGACACTGCATGGTCCCATTGGTGGCATTTGTGGTGGCTAGGGACTGGTATAGAAAGGAGGTAGCTAGGATTGGTCTTGTGGTGGAGGCAGGCTTGATCTGGACCATTGGATAGGTCAAGATCAGACGATTCTCATGGGGCGGTAGTTAGGGCTAAGGGTAAAACCCTAATCAACTCTGATCTCAAACGGTTGGATTGATGGAATATATAAACAATATCCCAAATCATTTATGAAGACAAGAGAAAAAGAGAAAGCCAAACACAACAATTTGAGCCAAATCAAGTCAACATTCTTAATATTCCTTTTGCTTTCAAAGAACACTTCTTGTACTTATTTGTATTCATTTCTCAAGTGTTCATATTTGTTCTTGAATTGTCCTAACACATTCATAGTGAGGATTTATAAGTTTGCAATTTGTAATTTCCTCTTTGAGAGAGTGTCTCAAGAATTTGTGATATAATTCTTGAGGGAGTTGTAAGGTTACACCTTATCCTCAAAGGTAGATACACATTAATGAATTTGTGGAAATCCTGGTATGGATAGCTAAGGTAGTGGATGTAGACTTTGGTTGATAAAGTCGAATCACTCTAAATTCTGTGTTCATTTGTTTATATTTTTCTCTCAAGCTTCCACCAAATTTTTATTTCCAATTCACCCCCTCTGCTATTTCATCCATTCGATTGACTCAACAAATAATTTTATTGATCAATTGTAATATAATTTAATATAAGATGATGTATATCTTTGAGGATATATTTATTATTTTATTAGGAATTAGATATAGATAAAATAATTATCTTAATTTATGTTGTTAGAAACTAGGATAGTATGTTATTGTTATTTTTATTATTATTTTCAAGCTATTTTTATTATTATTTCAAGCATTTGGCACACTACCACAAGGAATCCTTCACCTTATATAAATGATGTCCTCTCACCATTGTGATCATCAGTTTTATCTTTTATTCAATACAACGAGATATCTTTTTGCTTGAGAGAGAGAGATCTTCACACTCCGATTGCCTATTCATTGTGATTGAGAAACTGGTTAGAGCCATTTATCGAGTTTTCCTTTTCATTGCGATTAGGAGGGTTCAATAGGACAATATCCATCTATTTTCAGCTTCCACAACTCCATTATCATCTCTAAATCATCATTATCACTCATCACCACTAAAACCCTAATTTGGCTAGGTATTTTCCTATATATTCTTGTTTTCTTTATTTTTTTATATTATCTTTATTATCTTAATCTTATTCATTTGATCAATTTCCAACAACCTTAAATTTCTTTAAAAAACCCTAATTGTCATCTCACCTTTATTATCTTTTTTGCTCTTTCTTTGATCAAATCTAGAGTTTTTAGGTTTGATTCTTCAACACAAAGCACAATCATTCATCCACTACCGTTTCTCTATCAATTGGTATCAGATTTGGAGGATTCTTGGAGAGAATCAAACACTTTTGATTCTTTCAAGCATACACCGCCCAAATACCCTAATGTAGTAGGTTGTGAAGATTCATTGTTTTCAGGTTCTTTTTCAATGTAGCTTTCTAGGTTTGGTTCTTCAACATGCACAATCATTCATCCGCTGCAGCTTCTCTATCATATGTGAACTGTCCATTTGGCAGAACGATACGCTTCTTTCTTTTCAAAGGTTTTCGCACATCTAACACCACTCTAATACAAAGACTGCCTCTACATCCGAAAGACATGATCGAATCATCGAAGTCAACAAAGATCAATAAAAAAATCCCCAATTGTGTTGCAACCTGCCTAGAGATGAAATTCACAGTCAGATCGTTGGAAATAATCCAAAAGTCAATCCGATTAAGTTCCACCAACATAAGATATTCACCCTTTTCAATCGATTGTTGGATCAGTAAATAAGCACTGAAATACCAAGGGCCTTCTGTTCTATTCTAACGCCCAACTTCATAAAAAAGACAAACAAAATCTCCCTCACTAACTGTGATCGATATGCCCCAGAGTGCCAAAATGGCTAGAGTTATTTATTCCGCCTCCGTCAGCTGCTCTAAAATCAAAGTTTCCTCCTCCTCCTCCCCCAAACAAAGCCCTTCCAATTCTTCCTCCAAATCGCCCATGAGATCCAATGAGAACACCAAACAAAAACAAAGCAGAAACAAGAAAACTAGCAAAGCTAGAAAACTGAGAAAACTCAGAGACGTGCCAAAAGGCCCGAGTGACAACTGCTAAAAGCTGAGAGAAACTCTAGCACAGAGAATTATATTATTAAATTGAAAGGGTTTTTTTAATACTGCCGAAAACAGTGTTAAATGAGGTAATTGCCGATTAGAAGCATGGAGGAAACTTTAAAAAAAAAATACTTCGATGCCCAATTCAATTCAATACTACTCTGTAAGTGTTTGTTGTATATAAATATAGTGTATAATAAATCAAATATGAAATATCTTGAGAATTCCATATTTTGTATTTGACACAAATAGAAACTAATGTATAATAATAATTAATTATGTCCATTTCAATATTTGATGCAATATAATTCTACGAATTAAATATAACATATCTTGCATTTTGAAACTCAAACTACAATGTATAATAAATCTTGTATATATCTAATTATAAATATGTTTATATTCAAGATGAAAATTTAGTATTTTTATAAAGCACATTTGATTTCTCTCTCCTTGCTCTCCTTTCTCCTTTGATATTTGATTTTAGGTTTATATAACAAATAAGTAACTAAAGTATATCATTGTTTTCATTTAAGTTTTTAAAGTATTTTTTTATCAAAATAAGTACCTAAGTTATCTTTTTACTAAGAATAGGTACTTAAAGTATTTGTTTATCAAAAATAGGTACTTAAAATATTCATTTCTTTCGTCCAAGTATCTAAATTATTCTTTAATTAATATCATATGCCAACTTTTTTAGAACTTAGATGAAAAAGTTTTAATAGTTTAGGTACCTATTTTGAAAAATTATTTTAGGTGCATATTTTGACTAAAAATTATAACTTTAGGTATTTATTTTGACCAAAAATATTTAGGTACTTAAATGAAAATAGAATATAAGTACTTATTTGTGATATAAACCTTGATTTTAAGTGTAGAGAGAAACCAATGACTCTTTACATACATGGTACTTTTATAAGACAATCTATTATAGTGCCAATGTAAAAGCTGTAATCTATGATTTTAGGTATATTTAATTATGTCATGGATGCTAAAAATTATACTATTCGATGCTGGAAATTATAAAGCATTTGCATTCACAAATATTAGCAATTATTAGAGAAGGGAGATATTTTAAGACTATAAAGTAGTCGATAAGTGAAACAGAGGCTTAAAAAAACGAACACAAACCTATGAAAACCATCAAAGCATGATGCTACTTGCTTTTCCTGAAGATGGAAAATCGCAGAAGATTGTCCTCATAAAATACTTGCAAGTCCTGATGCAGCGTTCAACAAATAAAACCATGCTCGTCGCCAATATGGATTGATGTACAGGATGGCAGCAATAACCAGTAACACAATTGCATAAGCAACAGAGAAGGTCACCCAGAAAACGTACACGTCCATCAAACCGTTTTCTTCGTCGTCGTCGTCTGAGGCGTTTGGTGTTGGGGGTGAATCGGGCCTGTCACAACTTTTATGTAGGGGAGGCCTACAGAGAAAAGGATTCACCTCGTAACTGCTTTCATCGAAGGTCCCGAATTGAGCTTTCTTAGATGGAATACTCCCTGACAAGTTGTTGTACGACACATTGAAGACTTCTAGGGTGTACAACTCCGTCAATTGAATAGGGATTCTTCCAATTAGGTTGTTGTGGGAAAGATCCAGACTCTCAATTTGCTTGAGCCTCGAGAATGTTGATGGTATGTGTCCAGTTAAGTTGTTGTGTGACAGGTTCAAGGAAAGGATTTCACTCAAGTTTCCAAACTGAAGAGGGATTTCAACGGTTATTCTGTTGCATGACAAATAAATCCCAGACATGTACTCGAGAATGTTTCCTTCGTATGTATAAGTTCCTCTCTTTGTTGTATAATCCACCCCTTCTACCCTTAGATCTTTGCTTATCCGAAATTCAGTGGCTGCCCTGTAACCTTCTAGATCGACATTTCAAAGTCCGTCAGTCCAAAGTAATCAGTTCTCTCAAGTATTGCAGCAAAACCACCGGCAGCATATGTTGATGCTGAAGATTTATTTTCATTTGGTTCAAGACATAAATAACTCAAACAAGAAGGTATTGGACCGTAAAGCTCATTGTGAGAAAGATCCATGATACTTAATGAGTACACTTTGCATAGCAATGGGAATTTCTCCAGTAAAATAATTGCCTTTCAGAAGGAGGATGCTCAAAGCAGAAAGATTACCAATCCAATTAGGAATTTCTCCTGTTAAGTGGTTTTCACTAAGGTCTAAAGTCACCAACGACCTGCTAATGAAAAATGCACTTGTCAAGGTGCCACTCAATCTATTGTTGCTCAAATGGAGATGTCTGCTGGGTTGTGCATTGAAGCAATAAGGTATTGAGCCAGAAAAAATTATTGTTTGAAAGGTCCAAAAGCTGGAGTTCATCCAAATAGCACAATTCCATGGGAATGGGACCCTTAAGTTGATTATCAGATAAAGCCAATGCCCTCAATCGTGATATGTTCCATATCCCTCCTGGGAGCTCACCAGACAAACTGTTGTTATTTAAATCCAAAGCCCAAAGTGGAGATAAAAGGACAGTTGAACAGTAGGCATTCCTCCATCAAAGTTATTCCCATCCAAATACAACATTTCCAATGATTGTAAACTGAAGATGGTGGGGGTTTCTTTCCGGTCAGACGATTATTTGATAGTCTAAGAGACCTTAACAAGTCAAATTTGGCCACGCACATCAATCAATATCACACAAGGGCAAAAAGATAACTCGGCTACTCACTATCACAGTTCATCACTATCACAGTTCATCACAATCAGGTGAGGTCATTCCCTCACTCACCATTATCTTGCTCATTCTATCTAGAACTTTATGTAAGGGTTAATTAATCTTTTAGTATTTTATATCTTTATGACAATTAATACTTATCATTCCCACTTGGTATTTATCAATAGCCCGACACTTGACTCGGGTTTACTATTTTATTATTTCACTTGTAAACTTTTATTAGGAAATTTCACCAATCCTAAACTCTTAATAGAGTCCCTTAATAAGGCAAGGCTTTCAACTTCTTTCTTTCTAATGGTACCAATGCTCAATCATATAGGATTGATACCGACCCTTGAGTATTGATATTTACCCCTGGTACTTGTAGATACTATATTTTATAATGGGTCCATATACCCGTTATAAATGCAACCAATCCCAAATGACCCAACAGGCCCACATGTGAGAACCCAAGTGATCTAGGGTTTCAATCTTTTCTCCTCAGCCGCCATTCACCCTAATCGTTAGATCTGAACCTCACCCAACGGTCCAGATCAAGCCAAGGCAAACTAGGATTTCTCCTTTTTTCATCAAGCCATCGCCACCAAATAGGGGATCTCTTCAGCTTCCATGCTCGTCTGACGTCGTCACCGGCGAGATTCGTGCCGGTCACCAAATCAAGGCTCGTGTTTCCTTCGCATGCATGCCCGACTGCACAGGTCAGGTGTTGTCTTCACCGAAAAGCACATTTCCTCTCTCGACCATGCAACAAAAAGAAAAAGAAAAAGAAGTTATTTTCCTTTCTCTTTTCGTGTGAACAAAAATCGGGTATAAAAAACCCTTCAACAGTGCATTATCATCAAGAAAAACCATTCGAAAAATATAAAAAAAAAAAAATCAGATTCGGGCAAGCAACACCATTATAGCAGGAGCATTGTTTTCTCAAAGGTTATTGTTTATTCCACTTTCTTTTGATTCGGATATAAAAAACTATATAATAATAATATAATAATAATATAATAATAATATAATAATAATAATATAAGGGAGGTTTTTGTTTTACCTTGCATGTGAGTGGTACTTAGCCGGAGTCGATTCATCGTTGGAAGTTAAGTCTAGCGTCGAGAATGTGAGCAGTCGGTTTAGATCTAGGAGTGTCAGGGGTTGTTTTCAATCTCTTAGGATATTTTTGGGAGTGGTTGGAGCGTGTGGTGGGCTGAGATTGTGGCCGAGGTGAGAAGAAGGGCCAAAACATGGTTATTTGATTTTAACGAGGAGCGCCACTTGAAGAAGGGGAGCATGAGTGAAAGCAAAGTAAAATAATAATTAGGGACTAAAACCTTAAATAAAAAAGGGTTAATCACAGGAGTAGTCCCCCAAGGTTTTTTTATCTTATTACTGTTTGTTTTGTTGATTTTTATCTAACCCACTAACTTTTATTTTATTGCATCCTAAACACTGTTATTTATTATTTATTGTTATTAATATTCGAATATTATACAACCTTGTGGTGACCCGATCCAGGATACAATCCACATTATTATGGTCTGGACTCGCTAACCACTACCCGCTAACTTTTCTAACTTACTAACATTCTAACTTTATTTCGTTCAAGCTAACATTCAGACTTTTATTTTATTGTTTATAACATACTAACTTTTATTTTTATGTTCTTACTAACATTTATTTTATTGCACAAACTAACCCGTAATTTTTAGCATTAGAATATTCAACGACCTTGCGGTGACCCACCATGGGTACGACCCGCATATTTATGGTTCGGGTTAAATGGTTAAAAACAACCCCTAACTTTTAAATTTATGCAATTTTTCCTATTTTTTATTTTATTTTTTTCCAGCACTTTAAAATTCAGTATTATTTTTCTACTCCTTTAATTTCTGCATTTTTTTCAGTCATTTTAATTTCCAGCATTTAATTTTCATTAAGCATCTTAACTTACACCTCGTTTTATTTTAGTCACTGATATTGCCTTGTGGTACATTTATCCCTAATGCCTAGGGTGTTCATCGGTTAAATGGTGCCGATCGAACCGAATTCCAACCAATTTTTTCTTTAACCGTTAACTGAACTGAACTTTTTTTTTGAAATATTATCCGAACCGAATAAATTTTAGTTAATTCGGTTAATTTTCAAATTAACCGAAATTTTTTAGAATTTTAATTTATAAAAATTGAAATTTTTAATTCAAAAAAAACAATTTACAATTAATTTAAATAATATATAATTATAAATAAAAATTTTATATGGTTTTTTAATTAATTAAAATTGATTTAGGTTAAAAGTTATTGGATCTTAAATTATTAATTGAATTTTAAATGGTTTGGGCTGAGCCCATATGTTATATATAAATATTTAATATTTAAAATATAATTTTGGTTAATTTGGTTAATTAACCGATTTCAAACCGAATTAAATGTAACCGATTCTAAAAAAATTATTAATCGTTCCCCGACCGAACTAATTTGGTGGCCGACCGAATTACTGTACTAATTCGGTTCGGTAGGTTAATTCGTTAAAACCGAAAAATGAACCCCTACTAATGCCATACTTTTCACTATTTTAATTTCAACCTTATTTGTTTATCCTATTTGGCTGGTATTTTAATTTTGGTTGTGGTATAAAGTTTCATGTTGGTCCCTTGTTATGCTAGTAGGCTACCGGTGTTTGACTCGTATTTTAGATTCGAAATCAAACTTGGTTATCTTTATTATTGCTACCATTTTTTGCACGTATCTTCATATCTATATTATTATTCAAACTTTATTTTTATATAATCATCATATTTTTATAGAGAAAAGATAAATTGTTGTGAGGGAAATATATGAAGACATCTCGTAACTATAGGGGAATGCGTCTTTCGAAGATTTTTCGCACAAAGGTTATTTTTATTCGATGGATTTTTCTTTATTTTTACCTTATTATATTGTTTTATTTATTTTATCTCGTTTTGTTTGTTTTTATTTGTTTTATTTTTATCTTGATAAAAAAATGTAAGACAAGTCTTTTTGTGAGAGGAATCTAGGGAAAAGTCTCCTAACTATAAAAGAAGTGCATTTCCAAGGATTGTTCGTACAAAAAATTTTTTTACTCAAGCATTTCTAAACTTTTATAATATATACTCTTTTAATTATATCATCCATACAATTAAGAAATACCATTTTGTGAGGGGAATCCATAAAAAATCTCCTAACTATAAAGGAAGTGAATTTTCAAGAATTGTTCATACAAAATAATGTGATCTCTTATAAAAATAATTGTAATTTTTTGGGTTAAATAAACAGCTTTGCTCCATACAAATATATTTGTACTCTTTAATTTCTGTGCCCATTGCTTCTATTCTTTGTCATCATATTCTTATTGGAAAGCAACATTGTTTTAGTTTTTTAAAAATTGACATATTTTAAGTAAAATGAATAGAAGGGTCATAATTTAAATATATTTTGAGTTGTAATTTCCTAACATTTAGACATCATATAATCGTTTAGGTACCAAACTTGGGCGTTGTGGGGGTGCTCACCCTTCCCCACACGTAATCGACTCCGAACTCTTAAAATAAATTTTTGGTAAAATGCATACCATTTTTTTCTTTTAATGATTTTTTGAACTCATTAAAATGATATTTTAGGTATTCAACCTACCTATGTTAAAGGTTGATGGTGACTCCAAAATAAATTGCTTCAAACATAAATTCATCGTCTTTCTCTGAATTAATTTTTAAGTCTAATGAATCCCCGAGGAAGACGTTATGACAGCTTGGCGACTCCGTTGGGGATTTTAGAGATACAAGCCATAAACGATATACGTTGTTTTTATTCTTGGGAATTATAAACTTAATTGTATTTAATTTATGATCATTTCGTTTATTTTAAGTTTCAACATATCATGCATTATTATATTTAACTAATTGAGTTTTGATTTATTGGTCTTCAGAGTTGAACAGATTTTTTGAACTTGTAAAAGTGTCTTTGTCACGTTTTTAAAGGTTTGTGAGTTTCTCCTCACACACAACACATCCATTTACATACCATAAGCTCATTACGAGCTTTGTCCCTTTTAAGTTAAGGTGAAAGCTTAGCCTACGTGAGATAACTCGTTTCTCCATATGGGTTTTAGCAAGTAACCTTTGGGTTTGTTGAAAACATTTGATATTTCGATATAACAAATTAAGTTAAATGAATTTAAGATTTTCCAAATGATTTGCTAAGTATATTCGATATAACTATTCGAATATCAAAACATTACTCCAAATCTTTCAAAGATCATTTTTTAATCCTTACTCAAGTATAAAATTAAGTTTTAATCTTAAAACAATCTCAAAAATTTACAAAGTATTCGAACCATTCAAAGCCAAAAATTCCAGATTGCTCAGAGGGAACTGATTCCCCCCAAGGGGGTACCGATTCCCCCCTGAATGGTTTGGCTCCGAGAATTCCAGTATGCTCGGAGGGAACCGATTCCCCCCCAGGGGGTACCGATTCCCCCTTGTATAACGGTCAAAATATTTGAATTTTACAATTAGGGAACCGATTCCCCATAGGGGGTATCGATTCCCCCCACGCTCTAAGCCGTTTTATTAATTGTTTTCACACTAAAACGGCTATATGATCTTCACTAATCATCCCCAACATTCAGAAGTGATTCAAGGTGTATTTAAACAAGTTATGAAGCCTTTGAAAGATATAAAATCATAGAGAAACAAGAGTGAAAGCATCAAACACCAAGTTTGTGCAAATCAAGCCAATTTTCCTTTCA